GTTTATTACTAAAATAGAAATATTGGGTGGGTAGTATTATATGTTATATATGTTCAGAAAAAGTTTCTTTTTTTCAAAAATTTGATTGAGTGGGACACTCAACCTCTCCTGATTTTGTATTAGCTAACATAAATTTGAGATGATGTTAGTTTCATTATATACATTAGGTTTATGCATTTATAATTAGTGTATATTACAGCACATGGTGTGTTAAATTCAGTTTTAAGTAAATTTGTGTCTGACATGCATGTCCATATTGGTTGCTACCGTAGGTATGTTACACATTATATTTATATGGACATCTTGGTCTTTGATTCCTTATCCCACCAATGTTAATTGTGTTCTAGATGTTGTAGTGTATTGAAGTGTATTGAACATTTTCAGTAATTTTCTTGGAATTGTGACCTAAAGCTGACAGAGTGGACTGATGCGTTCAGGTTTGGGGTTAAGCCAACATGTACATGTACATGAGTTTTAGTTGTGCATATGAAAAAATAAATACAGATAGAAATTGAGTGTTGCACATGACATACTATGAAAACTTCTTTCATCCTCTTTCTATTCATAGCCAATTTCTTCATGGCGATGTCCTGTGGCCGAAATGGTGGCATGATGCAGATGGGCGGATGGGTAGTCGGTAGTTTTGTTGCCAGGCGACTAAAATCTGGACAGGTGTTTGTTCCCATGGTGTGGAAGAAGATGGGACAACCGATACCTGAAAGCAAACCTTAAGGTGCCATTTGGAGAATAAAATGAAAACTGAAATACAAGTAGTATAATATAATTATGAATATAGAGCCATTTTTTTTAAATTCTATTTTACATACTCATTAGGTCTTTAGAATTATCTTATCAACAGAAAATCTGTTTCTTCGTGATTTGTATTTAATATTTAAGAGCTTTATAATTAACCAACTCAGCAATTAAGGTGGCTATTATTATTTTGGAAACATCAATATACAATGTATTCTGTGTTGGTACTGTGAACTGTGCTAAATATTGTAGCAGTGAAAATATTGTTGTATCAAATGCCATCAAATCATGAAATTGCTATAAAATTAAGTGGTTTACACTATATACGTGTATATATGTATACTGTTTTTATACTGACAAAAAATTCAGATTGCAATTTCTCATGAAATGTGCATGTTTTGCAATTTCGAACTGCACATACAAACATCAATTTTTTCACTTATTCAAATTCTGAGAGTCTAAGTTATATAGCACTGTTCATTAATATTCAAATATGCTAACAAGTGTAATATGAATGACATAATCATTTGATGTAGTTGCACAGTAAAAAAGTTTGAAAAAATTGCTATTTTTCATCAAAATTAATAGTTTTTTGATAATTGGTATTTGTCATTGATCATGTGAATAATGAATATTAATGTGATTATTAGTAATGAAATGGTTGACAACAAGACTCGGGAGACAGGGTGGAAGCATTCTTGGATTTTGAAAGTTAGTAATGACAATGAAATATTTTCTTAAAATATTTGCCATTGATCACATGAATAATAAATATTAATGTAATCAACATCAATGGAATGGTTGACAACAAGACTCAGGAGACAGGGTGGAAGCATTTTCGGATTTTGAAAGCTATTAACAACAAAGGCGGTTTTCATCATGCCACATCATGGTCAATATGGGACCCATAACAATGTATACAAAGTGTGTAAAATGCATTGTTTGGTTACACGCATTTAAGTTTCTTCAAAAGTGGTTCATTGTTAAACTGATTGATTTCTTGTACCAGATAATAATACAACATTTTCTGTAAATTTCACAAAAGCTACTATTTCATATTTTAAGAAAATCAGAAAATTTTGCAGTATTT